AATCTATATGAAATCTGGGTAGGTACGGAACCCTCGGTGCACGAGTTCGACTCGTACCTCACCAGTTTTTTTATTGAATGCTTGGAACAATTTAGTTGTTTGTTAATTGGTATGTCACAGGTTAAAAACTATATGTGTATCAACCTTTATAACCTTTGTATATATTAATTTTTATATGGATTTCTATGTGTTAGTAGTATGTATATTGTAAGCGTATATCGTGTGTTCATTTTTAAATATATATTCATTATATTATAAAGTACACTATAGACTGCCCTAAACCCGATTAAACAATATCCGTGTAAAGGTTTTTTGTAAGAAATCGCCGTGAGCGATCAGACCGCCTATTGTAATAGCAAAATGTAGATGTCCATCCATATCCGTGCAATATATACTGTAGCGGTGTACAATTAAGATGAATAATTAAATAAATAAAAAAGTATTAAATTTAGTCTCGTTTTTAATCACAAACCTCATAGTATCACGTTCACTCTACTTTTTTTTTGTTAACGCCATTTTGTTTACATAACATCATCCAAGTGCACTCGAAAAAATGAAACCGCATCCGAGTTACTATTGTGTCCATTAAATTCATAAAGTACATTAATTCACAATTAAAAAAGCTCCTCATTAAAAAAAAAATATTATAATGTATTGGACTTTATTTCTAAGAATTTGTAGTGTTTTTTTTATTTTTTGTAATTATTGTTTTTTCTTCCTGACATTAATTGATTATTTTGACTATAGTTTGACTTTGAATATTGACATTGTATGTATCACAATCTTATTATAGTAATTAATGATGCTAATAATATACCTAGAGGTTATTTTAAGTTATGTTTAAATTATATACAATTATAAATGTACAAATTGAAAATTTGCACACCCATAGTGGTAAAGCACAGTGAACCTGTTGTGAATGAATACCATGTAATTAATACCTGTGTTATGCAAATAAACAATCTGAATCTGAGTTAAGTTAAGTTAAGTTCTGATCGTTATCCGACGCCCGAGTGTACTCGGATAGCCTGTTTACACGATACAAGTAGCATCCGAGTAATCATCCGAGAGCACTCGGTGTGAAACGTGGCTTACGAGTCACGCAAAATATTCATGACCTTCTGACTGATGACTTAAAGAACTTGAAATGTGCTAAATCACTTCATTGGAATTTAATTCATAAAGAAAAACCTAACGACAAGTTTTGAATATTCATTGCATCACTAAAAATTTTTTTGTACGAGTACCTAATGTTTTTAAATTAGATATCGAATATTTATAAGGCGATGTCGGCCTATCGCCAGTAACACTACAGTGGTGAAATAAAGCAGAGTACAATACAGCATAGGTCCTGCACAAGTGACACAACTGATTTCTTAGGCTCGATAAAAACCAGTGAACTATTTAATAAATAGTGGTCCCCTCTGAAGCTGTTTTGCGTACTTCTAACTCCTTGAGGAACTATTCAGGTACCAATAATTTCTACAATACTGTGCCAGAATTATGTTTTTTTTTTAACCGACTTCAAAAAGGACGAGGTTATCAATTCGTATGTTTATATCGTTGTTTATGTATGTTAGGGCATAACTCCGTCACATATGTAAACAGATGTTTTGAATTCTTTTTTTGTTCGAAAGGAGTTTATACCGAAATGGTCCCATTCAAATTGTACGAGTATATAGATCTAATGATGAATTTCGGTGACATACTACGGAACTCCTCAAATAATGACAGCAAATCAACCGCGATTGCTGCTAGGTATTTAGTGCTCTTTGTTAGTATTGTTTGAAGTCGGTTCTACTTCTTTTTAAAAAGGATTTATATATTGTATAGGTGCAAACTCACAAACGGGATGAATGGAAACTACCTATGGATACCTAAAGCGCCCTTTGAGTCCTGTCCCCCAAGAATCATGGGGAGAAGTTGTTTGGGCTCCGGTAACCTCGTCGAACCTTGGTGAAAAATAACGAATGCATTCCTTAACACCGGCTTTCTGTGAAGCTGTAGTATCACTCCGGTCGCGCCAGCCCATAGCTCTCCCACAGTTACACTTACGTTTCCAAGATAATCAGATTTTTCAAATGAAATGATACTTTGATTGCAGAAATATGGTACATGGGCTGTTTATAGTTATTAGAAGAGAATCACATATTTCGTCAGTCTGTTCTGACATGCAAAATTTCAAACTCATGTGCATATTATAACAACAGATTGATTTAATAACGAACTACTAAGCTCATGTCAATAAACAATTTACATAATGTCAAATATATAATTGCAATGTCAAATTTTTCATTCCGATAATTTATTTCTAATATAGAACACAACATACAATAAAATATTATCAGGTGTTTTTGCAATTATCTCTCGTTTAGATATTCGGTTACTGAGTATATCATTTTTTCCAAAAGCCATATTTTCAATTTCCTTTTAAATTTCAGTAGATTCAACGTCTTCATGGTTGGTGGCAAGCTATTATATTTTTTGATACACATATTATAACATTTTTTTTGGAATAGTGTAATTTTGTGCCCAGAACTACTTCTGGGCACAAAATCCAGGACTAGTCTTTCACTGCCCCGAGTGTTGCGTGGGAATATATCTTTTGCCTTTTTAAATAAACTAGGGTTACTTTTAACAAATACACTTACTCGTACTTCAAAGATGTACAAAAAGGGCAACGGTAATATTTCATATGTTCTAAAATAAAGTTTGCAAGATTCATAAGGAGGAATGCCCACCATAGCCCGAACACATCTCTTCTGGGATAAAAACGCCCGAGTAGCATCTACTGAGTTTCCCCACAACAATAGACCGTATCTCAATACAGAACCTACGTGACCATGATAGGCGAGAAGTACTGTCTGTTGAGTAGCGGTTCTTCTTAGTCGGTTAAGCACGTAGACAAAACTGTGGGGGTATGTGACTATCCCCCGCATAAATAGTAATAATCAACAACTCACTCAACTCACATACATAACGTAATAGCTAGTAGACAAAATCTTTTCTAATAATTTTTCAAACAACCTATGGCAACCGTCAGAGCCTGCGCGCGCCTGCGCGGTTTCATGCGCAGAGGAACTAACTGTCGTATGTCACCACAAAACTATTAACCCTTTTGCAGACTGAATCGACGTGTGTCTTCCAGTTGCAATATTTATCTAATGATAATCCTAGAAACCTAACGCATTCCGTTTCCTCTATAACAGTATCGCCATATCTTATTTGTCTAAGATTTAGTTTTGAGATTTGTGTTTGGAATTGTATGAAATTCGAAAGATTAGCATCTAAGTTATTATTATTTAGCCATTCTATTACAGACTTTATTGTGTTATTATTATCAATGTCATAAATTGAAAAAAAAATTGGATGTCAATATAATTGAAATGTCGTCAGCAAATAATATACATTTATGAGTAGTAATGTCTGGTAAGTCATTATTATAGACTAAGAATAGTAATGGTCCCAATATACTTCCTTGAGGAACCCCATATTTGTTAGTTAAAAGTGTGGACCTCCCCCTAGTGATCACTGAATTATCATTTTTAAATATATCCACACATTGTTCATCATTCTTCAGGTAGCATTTAATCCATTCATGTGCTGGGCCTCAAATTCCGTAATTTTTTCATGTCAAAGAATATTACTTTTGTAGGTTTTTTTAGGTTTTAATCTCTGATCTCCGATTTCAGATCCAGTACTGTTGCTCTAAAGTTCTATTGCTTTAAAAAAAAAAAGCATACTTAAACAAATCATTGTGATCATAAAAATCATTCATAAAAAAATGAAATAAAAAGCAAAAATCATTGAATTACAGCCTAAGTCAAGTCAAGCCTAATATCTAATAATAGCAGGAAAAGGGAACGACTAGATAGGTGTCTACACTACAACTTATTATTACATTAAACTCAAGCTAATGTAAAAAGGAAAGGAATTAAAAATAAATGTCTTTATGAAAAGAGCGTACTCCTCCCTAAAATGCCAGTTTGTGACTCCTGAGTTGCAGACGTTGATGGGCGGCGATGGTCACTTTCCATCAGGTGACCCGTCTGCTCGTCTGCCCCCTAAGCACAAAAGCATAGGATCTTCATAAATCGCCTTTGGACATCCTCAAAATTGTCTATGTATTAATTATATCTTGGATTCCATATCTGTGACTCGTATTCAAAAGATGGCTTCTAACATAAGTACAGTTTAATTTTTTAATGGTTTTGCTTGTTTGAAACACCTCGAAACACTCATCACAAAAACAAGCGCTTAGGAAGTTGTTGAGACTATTTCATCAATCATCATCAACATCATCATGAACAGCCTTTAATGGTAAACTGCTAGACATAGGCCTCTCCTTGGAAAGGAGCTTTTGACGCCGCTGGCTAAACGGGTCAGTATAAAGTTTGTTTCAAGTTTTCTTTTGAGAGAAATCGGAATGTCACCACCTCTCTTCATCCCGTGGATGTCGTAAGAGCCGACTAAGGGAACAAAATACGCTGAGCAACAGTTCTGCAAAGAGAAGGAAATTTTACACAAACCTCAAAATAACCCGTCTGGCCAGCGTTCAAGCGGCCAAAACTTTCTTTCCAAGAAGATGAAATAACACTAAACAACAAAGCCTAATGAGAGATTTCGGCTCCCTCTGAATTTAGTGATTATGTTGGTTGCTCTAAAGAACTAATAGCAGAGAATCTATCTTGGACAGTAAATGGTCAACCACTTTTTAATAATAAAGGAATACTGTGGACCAAACTCCCTAACGAAAACATCCACAAAAAAATTGCAAAATCTGTATACATTAAATCTTAAGTTAAGGATACGCTACAAAAAATTAAAAAGTTTAAGATAGAGTTCAAATTTTGACACGAAATACAAATCGATTCGAAGATGTTTTCATCTGTTTTTTACATTAGTTTTGTTCTTCATTGTGCTACAGCTACAGCGAAGTGTGGCAGGGTACAGCTAGTGTAAAATAATTGCTACAAAAACGTATTTCTTCTTTTCTAGATATGGATAGAATACATAAACTCGAGCGAGACGCCCTCGGCCGCCAAAAGTATATGAATGCGGTGATAGAAGAAGGAAACTCTCCTATACAACAATTCTTCTCGGGCGTTACCATCTTTATTACTGGAGGAGGTGGTTTCCTTGGCAAGCAATTTATAGAGAAGCTACTCAGGTAAGAAGACTTTCTGACATTCATGATCGTATGAAAATACATAAAAAATGAAACGAAGACTACACTATTCATTAAAAAACTAAAAGCATTCTTAATTACAAAATGTTTCTATTCTGTTAAAGAATACATTGAGGAAAAAAACACTTAACAAACTACATTTCTTATTACACGGAAAACAGAAAGCATATACCTAAGTACAAATCATAAAAAGAAAAATCGGTCGTGATGCTCGGAAATGCTAGGGACAGTAGGAAAATGTGTATATGTATTAGTGATGTAGAATGTCGGGTGCCTTCGTATTTTTGCATGCTTTATTTGATTGTTATACTGTACTATTAAGTCACTTAATTTGTATTGTTCAAAAAATGCTTGTACTTATGTAACAATTTATTCTTCTGCGTTCTCTCTCAAATTTTTGCAATGCCTGAAGAAGGCTTCTGAGTTGGGACTACTACATATAATATTATAAGATCATTGATGTACACTTGGTTGGCAAATAAAGATTTGATTTGATTTGATTTGATTTGAAATGGCTACTAGCCGAAGTGCGCTCAAAGTTAGTCTTAACGCGATAAAACTACTAGGTGCTCTACTTAAATACTTTTTTACACTTATAAAAATTAAACCATTTGCTTTGAACTTAAACCTAAGTAAAGTGTATATTATTTTAAATAAAAAAACGATTGGATACGTCAAACCGAAGTATGCCACAACGGTACAGCTTGTTATTAGTGAACTTTAAATGTTTTATGGAACGCAGCCGCAATTTCGATCTTGAATTTTCTCAGAACCTCAGAAAATAATAATAATGTGTACACTGTATTACTTTTACTAATTGTTACTAATTTTTTTTATTGGCTTGGTGTGTATGTATGTATGTGTGTAACGGAATCTCCGAACGAGATTTTGACCATCTTAAAAAACGGTGAATTAAATTAAAACTTATCAAACATCAATGAAAAAACAATAATTTGTAAAATTTGGCTGATTTTCTTGGTCAGAATCCTCAGGATTAACGATTTTTTCCATAACTCAAAATAGAGCGGTGTCTTTTGCAACGCACTAAGAGGTGTGTGCTGAAGCATATGTGACTTACTTACTTGTTACTTTGTTAGTTTTAATGATAAAATAATCATCATTAATGACTAAAAAACCAAAAATTTATGAAAGTTTAAAAAAATCTGAAAAGCACGTCGTTGAAACTAGTCGAACTAAATAATTGTTTTTAAAGTTTAAAAAGAAAAATCATTTCATAGTAAACAAGTGTTATTGTGTTTAAACTATTAATAATTTTAATTTATTTGTTTATTGCCAGAGCATGTAAAATAAAGAAAATATATGTATTATTGAGGCCGAAGAAAGGTAAATCCATACAAGAGAGGCTGCAGTTTATGTTGAAGGATCCTGTGAGTAAAAATTATAAATTTATTACAAATAGAATATATTTTAAAACGAAGTGTTGGTCCTGTTATCTTTTTGACGATAGTTGGTGATGTTTCCTTTTCTTTGATTTAGTCAGATGTGATCATAGTAAACTATAGTTGTTGTAAAGGTCCGTGTGGTGACGAATTAAAAATTCGGAGTGTCACCACCCCTATTCATCCTGTAGGTGTCGCAAGAGCTGACTAAAGGAGAAAACTCTGCAGAACAACAGCACTGTAAAGAGAAGGAACACTCTAAACAAACCCTATACCAACCCGTCTGCCCAGCGTGGTATAGTAGGCCAAAACTCCAAACCTTCTTTCTAAGGATGGCTCCATGTCCAGCAGTGTTAAACTTTTGTTCGAACGATGAAGACATAAAGGATATGCACGTCACATCAAATCAAATGTTTATTTCAGCAATTACATTGTTTCTCTTGTATTACGGAATACAGCTCTTTCTCTAACATCGTCCTCTAAATGTAACAATTACATAATTATAATAACATTCGCAGGTTTACGATATGGTACGTAGAACACAATCGGATTTCGCAGACATATTGGAAGCTTTAGAAGGAGACATTTCAGAGCTGAATCTCGGACTAAGTGATAAGGACTACGCCAAAATTACTGACGAGGTAAGGCATTTCTATTTTAATGTGGCTTTCATTGCTAAGGCCGCCGTCTACTGTATTGTAAGCCGTCATTTCTGCCCGTAACTGGAGTCTAGAGTGCCTTCTCACCAGAAGAAGAATACGCTGCAGTATTTTTTATTGTTGCAGTGTCACCTATAATGTCGTTTAGATTCGCCTTGGTTTGGTGATAGTAATGATGACTTACGGGCAAAATTCGGATATATAGCGGATAGGAATGCGAACCTCATCTGCTCGAACTATTATCTAGATTTTCCAATCCATTCGCAAAGGCAATTTCCCTTCCTACAACCCCCTTGGCTTCGTATCTGTCTTTCCTACAAACAACCATCTTTCCTATAGCGACTAGACAACAGCAATAGTCTTACCGTATATTACGTATTGTGGGACTAAAATAATTATTTAACCAAATTTTAATTACGTTTAGGTCGATTTCGTTGTTCACATGGCAGCTATAATTCGGTTCGATGGACCATTACGGGACGCCACATTGGCCAACGTTCGAGGGGTCAGAGAATGTGTGTTGCTGGCCAAAGCGTGTAAAAACCTCAAGTAAGTAACTAGTAACTTACAATAAACCTTAGCGGTTTTACAGTACCAAAAACCAATAACGTTATTGTTGCGCCATAGGATTAAATGGTTCGTTTTACACAGCAAATTAACATCGGAGTGAATTTCTAGTGCGACTAACAAGATATACAGTGATTTCTAGTAGTAAGTGTTTGTAAATACAGTAAATACAGAAATAAAGTAATTAACCGAAAACTTTTATTTATTATATAACCGCTCGTAACATTATGTTGTGCTTTTATCGTGTAAGTATTAAATAAAATAAAATAAAGTATCATTATCAGTAATAGAAGATTCTTAACACAGATTACATTTAAGAGTAGTCCGTCCGGTAGTCCTTCTATACCTACTCAACTCGATGAGGTTAAAAGATCGGTGCTTGAGATTGCGTCGTCCCATTCGTCTGACACGGTCTTGCTAGTGGGGGATTTTAACCTTCTCTGCTTGCAATGGTCCGATGATAACTATCTGTTGGCTAACATTGGAACAAAAGAGATTCAGTCTGCGGCTACCCTATTTGTACCTATTATTTCAAGGTTTACAACAATACAATTGTATTAGGAATGCCGCGAATCGAACGCTTTACTTCGCTTTCTGTAACCAACCCCTCAGCGTGATTGAGAGCAGTAGCCTTTTGAAGAAGGATAAATACCATCCTGCCTTCACAATTGAAATAACGGACTTATATATCGCAGTCCCCGACGAACACTATGGTAATCGCTATTACGATAGAATCGGGTTTATTAGATATTCGTTATCTACACACCCTATTACAATCATTGAATTTTTTTTATGATCGGGCGATGAATACTTTTGGATTTATCCATTCAATAATGATCTTTATGTTTTTGTTCAACGTATAACATAAGTGAAAAATTTACACGATCAATAACGCAAAAACCTATTACCAAATCTCAAAAGTCAACATTTTAGAGTAAGCGGCTATTACCATATTGTTCGAGGGAAAAATGACAGAATCAGAATCAGAATTTATACATAGGCCCCGAAATGGTTATAACACCTAAAAATGATCATCGAATAAGCATGTAATTTATGTTTACCGTAATATTAAAGTCGGTTATATCATCGAATACGATTGCAATGTCATTTTACGAATATAAAGTATATTCATATTCACCATGGAACAATATCATAATGAACGATTACTACAGCAACACCGATTTGTGATTACAGTCGAACACTATCGTAAAGTTAGTTTGCGTTAATTTTTTCCATAGCTTATTTCAGTAATGGACATTTTCACAATTTTCTTACTGATAAAGAAAATTTATGATAAAAATTTAGTAAAAATCTAGTGCAAAAAAATATTTCCTTATTTTTGATAAAATAATCTTCTTTTTAGTGTTGATAGTATTCAAGATATTCAGTTTTTATTTGCTCCTGTAAAATTGTTATTTTCCTATTACGATTTTGTTCGTCGGGGACTGCAATTACCTCACTCACTGAACAAATTAAAAAGCGACATAATTTTTACCGCTGTGACTATGATGCTTTAAACAAATACTTGAGTCAAACTGATTGGTCTGATATTACACATGCTTGTACCGTGGATGATGCCGTGACCAAATTTTATAAAATGCTAAGTGACAGTATTGAAATGTTTGTTCCTTTAGTAAAAAAATACAACAATTATCAGTATCCTACATGGTTTACCCCATCCTTGGTGAAGACAATTAAAGAGAAAAATATACTTCACAAAAGATGGAAAAACTTCCGTAATTATCTAGAGTTCACTATTTTTCGTGATAGACAACACCGCGAACAGAAAAACTGTTTTCGTATTTTTATAGCTAAAACTGAAACTAATATAAACCGCAACTCAAAAGCTTTTTGGACGTACGTCAAATCAAAGAGAGGCGGCAGTCAATACCCTAACCAGTTTACATCGGAAGGTGCTACTTTTACTGAAGGACAGGCCATTTGCTCAGCTTTCAGTTTTTTTCTTAGTGTGTTTAACGATGTGCCTTGCGATGGTTCTGAGACCATGCCTGGTACAGATTGTGATACTCGGCTTAATGTTTTATCAGGAATAGATATAACGGAAGATATGGTTCTCAACTTGTTGACGTCACTCGACAAGACAAAAGGCCCCGGCTATGACAGAATACCTGCTATACTTTTATCAAAATGTGCTAAAAATCTGTCATATCCTATATTTTTGATATTCAGAAAATCATTACGGGATTGCATATTTCCGTCCATGTGGAAAAAAGCGCATATAATACCTATCCATAAAAATCAATCAAGGTCACTGATTCAAAATTATCGTCCTATATCTATTCTTGTTATAATAAGTAAGATCTTCGAAAAAAATATATACGACAACATTTACTCTATCATTTCACAGAGCATCCCGGATACTCAGCATGGTTTTGTGAGGGGTCGTTCCACTAACTCTAACCTTGCTCTATTCTGTGATTATGTATTGTGTGGGATGGAGTCCATTGGGCAAGTTGACACTATTTATACAGATTTTGAAAAGGCGTTTGACCGCGTTCATCATGACATATTACTTGCAAAATTATATAGATTAGGAATCCATGGAGACTTATTGCGTTGGATTAGGTCGTACTTAACAAACCGCTCACAAGCTGTAACTGTGGGGGGCTTTAAATCTAATTTCATCAATATCCCCTCTGGAGTACCGCAGGGGTCTCACCTCGGGCCTCTTCTCTATTGTGCTTACTTGTATGACATAGACAAGTGTTTTGGTAATTCGAGGCATCTAATGTATGCTGATGATAAAAAGATATATTTCAAAATTAAATCTACACTTGACTGTGAGTGCAACGGGATCTGGACGCATTGTTCTCATATTATAAACGCAATAAAATTACGGTTAACATTGATAAATGTCAGTGCATAAGTTTTAATCGTCGTAGAAGTCCTATCAAGTACACATACAAATTCGGTGATAGTGTTATCACTAGGGTAGATCATGTAAGAGACCTGGGGGTAGTGTTGGATTCCAAAATGCTTTTTTCTCGTCATATAGACACCATTACCAGTAAGGCATTCAGAAATCTAGGCTTCGTTATGCGTACGTGCGCTAAATTTAGGAATATCAACTGCCTTAAAACTGTTTACCGCGCATACGTGCAAAGTGTACTTGACTATGGCAGTCCTGTTTGGTCTCCCCAATATGTTACATACACAGATAAAATTGAGAGAATTCAAAAACGTTTCGTGAGACATCTAAATTTTAAGACAAGGAGACGACATTTATCATATCTTGACGACTGCAAGCACTATGCCGCCTCTGCTGCCTCTATCTAGTAGGCGTGTGTTACTAGACATGAGCTTTTTGTTCGCTATCATTCGAGGTGAAATTGATAGTATCGAACTTCTCTCTAATATTAGCTTGAATACACCCGGGGCTCGTACTAGACATACGCCTGTTCAGTATTCCTCTGCACCGCACCAATTATGCTAAGAATTCTGTTCTCACTCGTTTGCCTAGCTGTTACAATATTAATTTTGACGAGATCGACATCTTCCACCTCTCAAAAAGTGCCTTTAAAAGACAAATAACTAAAAAGTTGCAATCATACTTGTGAGTCCAAATTAAGATTGTTTTTGTAAGTTGCTTTTTTTGGAAACTTCTCACTCTGCACAATATACCTAATATAAATTAAATTATAGATAGTATATAATACGTACAATTGCCTATGTTTAAGTGGTGCACGCAATTTTCTTTTACTTGTCGCGAAACTTTATTATTGGCTAAGAGTCTAAAAATACTTATGAGACCTTCACCAGTTTGTATGACCATATTTTAGCATATTTGGGTTTTATTTTTTACATTATGGTGTTTCAATCAGTAATCCATACTAATATTATAAATGCGAAAATGTGTCAGTCTGTCTGTTACCTCTTTACGCTTAACCCGTTGAACTGATTTAGATGAAATTTGGTATTAAGATACTTTGATTCTTGAGGAAAGACAAAGGCTACTTTTTAACTTTTTATGATAATTTACGCGGGCGGAGCCAGGGATAAAATCTAGTATAAAATCTTCATTAATTTGTAAGTAGCATAGTCTACATGGCATTAAGGTAACAGTAAGAATGTTCATCATAGGTACTAAATAAATAACAAATTAACAAATAATAGAAATATATGAAGGTGGAGAAAGGGGAGTGGGAGAAAAGTTTTAAAGATATTCTCAAACTTCCATGGGAGTGCTGTGATTGGGCACGTATGGGCCGTCTGGAGCAGAGTGAAACCAAGGCCTCCTAGGAAACCGATGTTAAGTAACTATTTCGTTGTTTTTCACCGAGTGGGTATGGTTACCAGAGCGCCAACCCCTCCTCCCCTAATTCTCAGGAGAGGTCTCAAATGGCAACAACGCACTTGTGTCTAGTCTGCATTTTTGACCCCATACCACCCAAAAAAACCTACATAATACATTCACGTTTGTTTTCTTCTCTTCTAGGTGTTTCACATATGTGTCAACAGCCTTCACTCATGCAACTCGAGATCGCATCGGAACAGAGTTGAAGGAACAATTTTATCCGTGTCCTGTACCCCCTGATCAGATAATCGAGTTGGCCGAAAATGAATCTAAAACGGTGGAAGATATAAGAGAGGAGTAAGTCTAAATTAAGTTTTCCCATCACTTTCGAAATGTTTTCTTACCATGTTCTTACAAAAAGCATTATTAAACAATTATCAGCATCATCAACAGTCTTTAATAGTCTAGTGCTAGACTTAGGCCTCTCCATAGAAAGGAGGTTTTGGCCTACTATGCGGCCAGACGGTATAGTTTTTATCAAGTTTTCCTTCCCCTTGCAATGATGTTGTCCTGCGTATTTTGCTCCCTCGCCTAAGCCTGTTGCTCCAGGACTCCAAGGCTGGCATCGTACTTGGGACTATTGAGTTGCAGGCGTCAATGGGCGGCGGTGATCACTTACTACGCCTGGATCCATTTACTCGGTCGCCTTAATGTTGAAAGTGATAACAGTATTGGCTAATTGTGTTTTGTATTTTTTCTAGAATGATCAAAGGATGGCCCAACACGTACACCTTCACTAAAGCAATAGCTGAAGAAGTGGTCAGATTGAATTGTGGGGATATACCCGCTTGTGTCGTCAGACCGCCAGTTGGTAAATACATGTTATTTTTAGTATAATTGTAATGCTTGTTAGACTACGTGACCCATTTTTTATTCAATTTACCCCTATTGTGTTCTCACGTATTGCTTAAGGACTTAGTAAATAAGGACGACTTTGAATATTATATCGTCATATAATCAGAGCACTAAATTTAAGTCTATACAGTGTCGCGGACGATCAAGCAATGGCTGCGCTAGAGTGTACATCTTGCTACGTGACTCAGTGATGCGACATACTACTACTTACTAAAGTAGTGATGTTACAAAATCCCCCTTCTTAAGTCAAACTCAACGACTGAGCGACCATGCTGTAGCAATCATGTACACCCTTTACAAAGACTTATATTTAGACATTACTTAGACATACTTTATACGTCATGTTTACATGATTATTGCACTTCTTCTATTAGTCTTCTCGTTGGCTTTACAACTCTGCCATAACGAGTGACTTTTTGACTAGAGGGTTGAGGTGAGGATGGTTGAGGTCTGGACTCCACCTGTCTATCACCTTCCTCTCTCCCCTGCGATGAGTTGGATAGTATAGGAGGGTCTGCTGTTTTACAAGAGTATTTATGTCTTAAACTCCTTCTAAATCACCAAATAAGTTCATCATGACTCTTTGAAAAATTTGAGACGATCCTTATGGCATAAATGCATCGTCTTAAATATCTATATCGACCAAAGAGTGTCTGAAATGTACATAAATCTGAACTATATTCATCTAAACGTAACATCGAAAATGCGTCTAAATGAGAAAAACAGACTGACCCTTCTAGTTGAGACCTAATCTCATCTATTGACTTGAGCGGATAATGTTCCCTCATTATATTTTTGTTTAAGTTTCTAGGATCTAGACAAATTCTTAACTGACCTGTACTCTTAACTGTAATGACAACAGAATTGACCCATTCTGTAGGTTTGGTAACCTTTACAATGACATGCATTTTCTCCGTACGATCCAGTTGGATCACAAAAGTTGGATCACAAAAACTGCGCTCAGAACTCTGAGCGCAGTTTTTTCATCAACGCAAATGGGACCCTTCTGGGCGGATCTATGCACGGGAATGCGTGAGGCTTTAGCTCCAGGTGACAGACAGGAGGCAAACACCCAAGACCCTGAAATACATCATTATATTTTTTAAGTATTTGTTGAGTAAAATCTTGGTTAGACACTGACAGCACTCTTCTTATTATAACTAACCTTTCGCAAGTAGGTAGACCTAAAACATTTGGACAAATTAAATCTGCGACTAAAAATACAATGTTTTCAACTATATTTTGATTATTCAACAATAAATTGCATTTTATGTTGACTTTGCCTGTTATAGGAATAGGTTTGTTATCAAATCCCGACACATTAATTTGAGATTTGACAAGTTTCAATCGAGTTTGACGTTTGATACCTATATAAGTTTGTTTAGACATTACATTAATATCTGCCCCCGAGTCTATGATAAAATTTATTCTCTCATTACTCACTGAAATATCTATGTTCCATGACTCTCCAGAATAATTTCTGTTTTTTAAATTGTTTAACTGATACTGACTTGTTGACTGATTGTTTGGTAATGACTTATTTATCCCCCACTCCTTCTGCCGCTCTCGGTGACCATCAGTAGTATATGCCGAGAAATGCTCCTCCCGTTACGTTAAATATTACCGTTGCCCTGTTTGTAAATTTTGAAGTAAGTGTATTTGTTAAAAGTAACCCTAGTTTATTTAAAAAGGCAAAAGATATGTTCCCACGCAAAACTCGGGGCAGTGAAAGACTAGTCCTGGATTTTGTTCCCAGAACTACACTATTCCAAAAAAAATGTTATAATATGTGTATCAAAATATTTAATAGCTTGCCACCAACCATAAAGGCGTTGCCCCTACTGAAATTTAAAAGGAAATTGAAAACATGGCTTTTGGAAAAAATGATATACTCAGTGACCGAATACCTAAACGAACGATAAATACAAAAGCACCTGATAATATTTTATTTTATTGTATGTTGTTTTCTATATTAGAAATCAATAATCGGATTAAAAAATTTGACATTGCAATTATACATTATATAAATTGTTTATTGACATGAGCTTAGTAGTTTGTTATTAAATCAATCTTTTTTTGTAATATGCATGTACGTTTCAAATTTTGCATGTCAGAACAGACTGACGAAATATGTGATTCTCTTCTAATAACTATAAACAGCCCATGTACCATATTTCTGCAATTAAAGTATCATTTCATTTCATTTCATTTGACCAAGGCAGTTACAGTACTGTGGCCTGAACGAAACCCAGATTGGTATGGACTTAACAGACCATTAGAGGAATGATAACTAATCAGTTGACTCCGGACGGTACTTTCAAGTACCTTAGCAAGGATCGGGAGTATCGATATAGGGCAGAATTGGGACACAGAGGAAGGTTTAAAAGTTTTAGGCAGAGGTATAACATGGGCTTTCTTCGAGGATGATGGAAACAGACTTTTCTAGAGGGATGAATTGATGAGTGACAACTGGAAGGAGATCACCCACAATAGGCTGCAACATTTGTAGTTGAATACCATCATCACCTGTTGTCTTCGTGGAGATAGATAAGATCTGTTTCTTCGTGCATTTTCTGTATTGGGGTTGAATGAAAATAAGGTACATTGTCGCAGAGGAAGACCAGAAAGGTGTTTAATAGTAGAAGTTTTACCAGGAGCACCCACCAAGATCGGTGGCGTGAAAAAATGCTCATTGAGCAAATTAAGATCTATATTAGGTGCGCTGTCGGTGGCAATTTTACATTTCCAAAATCTAAATCAGTTTTTAAAACGACGACCAGTTATCTTCAGAGGGTTTTTTTGAGTACTTTCGTTTTGCCTTATCCTGTTTGGATATATATTGCTTGATTTTTTCGCAAAGCCATGGTGCAGGTGGATGGTGATGAGATTCTTACCTTTTTTAGAGGAGCATATTTGGATTAAAGATTCAGCAGGATGTTATCAAATCTTTCCAACTTAGTATATTAATTTTTTTTTACAGTTGTACCAGCATATTATGAACCTTCTCCGGGGTGGTCAGATCTAAGCGCCATATATGGACCTCCTGGTGTAAGTATACTAAAACCCAGATAAATTATTTTGTTAATGCCTGCTCGACCGGAGTGGCGGCACTGCTTCACAGAAAACCGGTGTTGAGTAATACTATCGAGTGGTTACATGAACCCAAACCCCTCCTCCTGTCTCTATGCCACGCTATGGTATGTACCCTATGCCACAAAAAAAATAGAACGTCATGCAAGAATTTATAGAATAGAATAATTTATTTCGTTTAAACATGTGATATAGGGCAAATTCTACATTGGCAGAAGATGTTACACAAATGCTATGTTCTACGAAATCTTGCAAAAGTATAGGAGAATTATTATAATTATGCTGGAAATAAACATTTTCAAGTTATGGTCAACCGCAACTATTTCAAACTATAATATCGAATATGTCTCACACATCTCACACACGGCCGTCTGATCCCAAACTAGGCTGAGCCTGTACTATGGTAACCAGACTGCTAATAAACTTATATATATATATATATATATATATATATATATATATATATATATATATATATATATATATATACATATTTAAATAGATACATATTATAGATAAATAACTAAATTAATTAATTCATTAAAAAAGACAAAATTAAAATAAGGCATCGTGCATTATTCTATTATTTGATTGATTATTGATATATTCTATATTATTATGCATTGGTAATATTTTTTTAGTTAATGATCGGTGTTGGACTCGGCTTTCTACACTTGTTACCCGTTGAAACAGACAAAACACTAAATATGGTGCCCGTGGATTATGTAAACAACGCAATCATTGCTGCCACGTGGGACACGTGCGAAAGCCGAAAACATGGTGCCCTCAAAGAAATTCCTATTTACACTGTTAGTTCTACAAAACGAGGCATTGTGTGGGGTGAGTATTTTGGAACTGAACCTTTAACTTTGATTAGTAAATATGAGTAAATGTGAAAGTTGCCTGATAATATAACAACATAATGTCACATATAGCCGACCCACGTGACTTCGTCGGCATCTCGAAAAGGAATAAATTTTCACAATTTTGCCAATATTTTTCATTGATGCTCGGGTCCTATTGGTTGCAGAGTGATGTTATAAAGCCTATATATATATTCATTAAGATAAATATATATTAATAATCCGTGTGGTAACGGATTAAGAATACGGAATGTTACCATCCCTATTCATCCTGTAGGTGTCGTAAAAGGCGACTAAGGGAGGAAACTCTGCAGGACAACAGCACTGAAACGAGAAGGAAAACTTCACACAAATCCTATACCAATACGTCTGGCCAGGTCAAAAACTCCTTTGTAAGGAAAGGCTATCAACTAAGTCCAGCCAGCGGACATCTAAAGGCTGTTGATAATGATGATGATGATTTGTTATCATTTCAATTTCAATTTTCTTTTCTTTCTAGACTTTATTGGAGCAATTATGCGAAGTCAGGACTGCAGAAAGCTTGCTTCCCCACTCGCTGTTTGGTATTGTTATGTATTCGAAGTGACCAATCCTGTCTTATACTGGTTGCTGACCTGGATCCGACACTATATACCTGCTTATATGGCCGACATAGTGTGCGCCATTCTCGGCATTAAAATTAAAGGAATTACTTCGTAAGTATTTGTTTCTTAAACAATCTTCAAATATTTCATTTACAGTTTTAAAATATCATAAAATTTTGTAATTATTAATCTATAAAATCTAAACAAACATTTAAATACCTGTTGCGGCAACATTTTTTAAACACTATCAAATCCATCTTAATTTTATATTCTCCACTTTTAGAATTTATATTATGTGTATTTAAGTATGTAAATGTATATGTATGTATATAATGTACTAGCTGACCCGCGCAACTTCGTCTGCGTCTCTCAATAGTAATAAATTTTCTCCGTTTTTGAAACATTCTTCATTGGTGCTG